GGAGATGTTTTGGGAGCAAGACAATGCGCTAGCGGGGGAGAAAGAGAGAGCTGGAAAAGCCCTTGAGGAAAAGTATTATCTTGTGCTCGACAAAGAACTCTGGGAGAGCGAAAGGGAACGACTGGAGAGGGAAGTCGCTGACCTGAAGGCTACCATGATGCCCGTGGAGGGTGAACCCGAGGGAGTAACTGATTTGCTCACTTGCACCGATTTCATTGCTCGGATTCAACTCCTCGAGTCGGACTACGTCGATGCTTTGGCCGATGGCTTCGAGGCTGCCGTGAACCAGCTGTCTGTGTTGATCCCGGGACTCAACACCGAAGGAACCGGGGTTCTATCCCAGGTGATTGACAGCCGGGTGGTTCCTCCTCCTGACTCTCCCGAGGTCGAAGTGGGCACTTCGAGGAGTGATTAGTATTTTTTAGGTAACTCATCTATTTGTATTTGGGTCTGCATGCTCGTGATTTTTTGTAACATTCAGACATCGTCGGCTCTGGCGGTCGACATTTATAAATGCTTTACTTTGCTTCAATGCCTTTATGGTTTTGCTGATGCTTGCCTATTTTTTGCTCGTCGCTATTTTCTGACTTATTTATTCCATGAATATTTGTAAGTTCCATGTATGGATATGTATGCCTGACCTTTGTTATGGTCGACACAAGTTCGTTTTTTTCGTGTACGGAGATGTATGCTCGACCCTCATATTATTCAACACATGTTGGGATTTCTCGAGGAGGTGGAGTAGGGATCCATATAACGAGTGTTAGATCGCGGTCAGGATCTTAAACTCGTGGCGTGAACTACCCATCGTGATTTGAGTGTTCTGCTATGTTGGATACTTCGATAGTAAAGCTCGATTGAGGTGTCCTTATCGGGCTAAGATCTTGCTTGTGAATTGAAAAAATCTCGCCTTTTGCTTATGTTTGGAGGCCATGTCCATACCTAGACACACCTACGTGGTTGAGTGTGTCCCCTCGTCGGTTGGAGAGGATTGGTCGACTTCTAATGCCCTTGGCGGGTGAAAGACTTAGCTATAGTATTGTTTTATCTTCGCGGCATTCCAGGGTCGAGATAGTGGTTCTCCATTTAATTGTTCGAGGTGATATGCTCTGGTGCCCGTAGCTTATTGGATGCGGTAAGGACCCTCCCAGTTTGCAGCCATCTTCCTCTTTGTGGAGTTTATAGATATGTCGTTGAACCCCCGCCATTTATTACCATGGCGGAGGGGAATCTTTCCCACCTATTGTGCATGGACAGAGGCTCTTTGATGTCGTCGAAGACGTAGAAGTCCTCCGGTCTTGTGACAGAGAAGGTTGTCTGAATGGGGATTTTCTCATCTAACAATCATGCATCCTCCTCAACCTCCTTTGTGTCGCGGGTATCTCGTCGAGGGGCATCACCGTGCCGATATTGCCCCAGTCTTCCCCCTTTAATGAGGGTTTCAGTAACATCTTTAAGATGGACACAATCTTCAGTCAGGTGTCCATGGCTTCGATGATACTGGCAGTACTTGCTCCGGTCAGCCTCAGGCTTAGCAGGAGAAGGACGGGGATGCCTAGCGCCGCCGTCCTTGAAATCAGTATTAGCACACACACTTCCAAGATGTGCTCGCGGAAAGCTGTCAGCGGAGTGTACTCAGTAAATTGTCCTACGGGCCCTCTTTGCTCGCGAGGATCCTGTGGTTTGTCATCCCTCCTCTTCTCGCCCGTTCATCGAGGAGGGACCGAATCTTATTATTGCAGATTGCTGGTTGATCCATGATTCCTTGGGTCCTGGGCTCTATTGGCCGCTTCCTTCTCCTTATAGTCCATATAGACCTTAGATTTTTCGAGGAGAGCATCAAATGTCCGCGGTGGTTCGATGCCAACAAATTTTCTAAACTCCTTTCCCGGGAGGAGTCCCCTCTTGAGCAGGTATCTCTTCATATGATCAGTGCAAGGGACCTGAATGGCCTCGCGGTTGAAGCGATCAATAAACTCCCCGAGGGTCTCATCGCTTCTCTGGACGATGGCCTTGAGGGCTGCCTCAGTCTTTGGGTGTCGACGTGAGACAATGAATGAGCTGATGAACTGGTTTTTCAAGTTTTTCCAGGAGGTAATTGACCCCGGGGTGAGGCTCTTATACCAGTCCATCGCAGTCTTCCTTAGAGTCGTGGGGAACAACTGAAATTTGATCGGTCCCCCAATGTTATGATAGTGCGGCATTGCCTCAAACCCGTCGATATGGTCGACTAGATCGGCAATGCCATCGTACTCCATCAGACGGGGAGGTTTCTCCATACCCGGGGGAATGGGTGCCTCCATAATAGCCTGGGATAGGGGACCGCAGGGGTCGTCTTCGTCGCTTCTGTATGGAGATCGAGAAGGCGACCTGTTGTAATGGCAGTCGTGATGGCGGCCCTGATCGTGGGGAGGATCCCTCGGCCGATGTCGTTGTTCGTCATTCCCCTTGTTTCTGTTTCCAAGGGTTCTTCTCTCTTGGCATGGGGAAATGTGATCACGCCTCCCCGTATCAACGGGCTTATCCCTCTCCAACGCGGGGTCGCCCGGTTCGTCGGGAAAGGGGCTTCGAGAGGCATCCCGTCTGCGTCTCTGTGGGGGAGATTGGGGACAGTTCTTTATCCGACGAGCAGGAGGATAATCATGCCTCTTATGTCTTCTAGGGTGGCTCTTCGAGAATCTTCGAGCATCCTTAATCTCTCACCCTGTGAGAAGATCAAGTAGTTTGTTTGATTTATAGCCGCGAACAGTGCCCTGGTTGTGGCATCATCACCCGCAAGAACTGGGACCTCCTGGAACTGGCTCGATTGGTAGTTATGAGAAGGACAGCGATCATCCTCGAGTCGTCTGGACAGTGATAACGATGAAACAGTCACTCCGTCTCTATATTCTGAGGGGTCGGAGATGTCAATGGTGTGAACATTGTTGTTGCTGGTATTGTTATTGTTACCGGCGTTGAGGCCAGTGGGACCAGCATTGTGGATGCCGATGTTGTGGTCAGTGACATTATTGTTGACATAAGTGGTATGGACATTCATGTTGTCTTCTGCCGTGAGATCAGCCATGTCAGTAAAAAAGGAGTTGGATTAGCTTTTGTCTTGAATGAATGAAAGACAGGAAAGCTGTGTTTCCCACAAACGACACCATTGATCGTACCTGACCAGAATGGACTGTCACAACTTACGTCGAGCAGAACTTGAGAGTGAGGTTAGGGGAGGGGTACCTGCAAGACACTCCGATGTCAAAGTGAGATTCAGAATGAGCAAGCAAGTAAGAGAGTAAAAAATGTTTAATACCTGATCCTCTCGAAAGAGAGGATATTTATAGCCTCCAGCGCTGGGCCAAGGTCTCCTCATTGGACTGGTCAAGCAGGCCCAAAGTAGAGACTGACAGGTCCTACGTGAGTAGTGGAGATCAGCACGTGGTCTCCCATCTGGATGACTTCCTCCGCAAGATCAGGAGGATATGGATACAGTCTTTCCGAGACCACGAAGACTCAGTGATATTCAGAGACGTTGATAGTCAGTCCTACGAGGAGGATGCTCGTGAGGTGCTTCTGCTCGTCGTGGATGCTCTTCGCCAGACGCGAGGTCGTATGAGGGGATCAGTCTTGGTCAGATAGAAGATCGGAAGATGACCTCGAGGTCCTCCTGACCGACGATGATCTTTCTAAGACTATCTGGGTTTATCCCCGTATGATGAGGTTGCCTCCTTGCGAGGAGTGGAAGTTGTTGTCCGACGCAGTCAAGGACAGAACTTGTCAGTATACCTTGACCGACATAATTAGGTTGAGCCTCACATGGAGTTAGGCCAACTACAGGTCCAATCCAGAACATAATGGATGAAAAATTGATGAGAGCAATTTAAAAAAAATTTAAGAGAAAAAAAAGAATTTGATATATTTTAGGAGGACAAAACTTATTTAAACCATTTATTTATTATCTATTTTCCGAAACACACCTTAACACCCTAGGTCAGTTGTTCCTTGTAAGTTATATGTCCAATGCTACCGTGTTTCTAGGGGTGTTCAAAACCAAACCGGCCCAATATAAAATAGAAAAACCGAACTGAACCAAACCGAAACCGCAAAAAACCACATTTGGTTCGGATGTGTTTGGGTCATTTTCTCGCAGAACCGCACGGTTCGGTTTGGTTTGCGGTTTGTATTTTACAAACCGAACCAAACCAAACAAAACCGCATTATGTTATAAAATCTTACTAACCAATATATATTTCTTTAATTCTTTAGAGAAATAAACATGTATTATGTTTATATTTTATCATACTTTGTATTATATTCATTTTAATTTACAAATCATAAAAAAATAAAATATTATTCATTTATAAATACTATTTTCACAAAATATATTTTATCGTATTCTTTGTATAATATTTATTTAAGAATGCAATCTTGTTTATATCATTCTTTAGAGTTAGATAAAATTATAATACGCAATTTTATGTATCAAATTATAAACTTATTTTGACAATTATAAATTTTTTTATGGTAATGTACGAACAATTAAATACAAAATTATATTTTCCTCTATATTTGTTTGTATGACTTAATAATTTTTTTTGTAAAAAACCAAACCAACCGAACCAATCCAAACCGCATTAGTTTGGTTTGGTTTGGTTCGGATTTATTTTTAAAAGCCAACCGAACCAAACCGAACCGCATGTTTTTTTCTCTTGCGGTTCGGGTGATTTTTTGCTTCAAAACCGCCCAAACCGCACCGCGAACACCCCTACGTGTTTCTGTTTAGTTGCGCCTAAACCAAAAGCTGAACAAACCGAACAGGAAAACAGAGCACCCTTCATCAACCTACTACGACGACAACTCGTTACTCAACATAAACAAACCCTATTTTCTTCTCTTATCTTTCTATAATCAAAACATTCAAATTGCAACAAACACCAATAAAACAATAAAATCATCGTTGTTCACTTCAATTTTCCCAAGTTTGCGATGGCGGCGCAATGAATACTTAGTAAATTTTCATGGCGGTGAAATGCTTACTCCGCAGCAGAGTTCACTTCCAACAACCACGTTTCTTCAGATTCTATTCCCCAAATTCTTCCGCACTGATGTTGGAGGATGAAACTCCAAATTTCAATGCCCCAGTTCCTAAAACCCCGCCGAAATTATCTCGTTTGGTTGTTAAAGTGTTCAAGTCCTTAAATTGGGGGGTTGCAAGGGAAGTAAAGTTCAAAGGTTTGGTTCAAAGTCATGGTTTTTATCATTCTATCAATTCCTTTAGAATCATCATTCACACTTATGCTTTGGCTGGTATGAGTTTGGAAGTGTTTATTTTGCTTAGAGATATTGTTGAATACTATAAAGAGCAAAATCGAGACGCGTTCGAGTTGTTTTCGGTTTTGCTTGATTCACCACACCATGTGAAAAGTTCTGTTGTTGTGTCTGATGCGCTTATGAAAGTTTTTGCTTCAAACTCTATGCTTGAACATGCCTGTTATGTGTTTGTTAATGCTAGGGATGTTGGGATTGAGCCGAATATAATGTCGTGTAATTTCTTGTTGAAGTGTTTGGTAGAAGCAAATAGAGTGGATGGTGTGAGATGGTTCTTTGAGGATTTGAAAAAGTTTGGTCCGAAGATGAATATCCATACTTATACAATCATGATGAACTTTTATTGTAGAGATGTAGGGTGCAGTGCTGATATTAGGCGGGCTTCTGAGATTTTAGGAAAGATATATAGGAGTGGGGAAACCCCGACTGTTGTTACGTATAGTACTTATATTAAGGGACTTTGTAAAGTTGGTTGCGTTGAGGTTGCGTTGAAGTTAATTTGTGACTTGCACCGAAAAAACCTGCCTTTCAATAGCCATTGTCTTAATGCTGTAATATATGGATTTTGTCAAAGAGGTGCAATAGATGAAGCTTCAATAGTTTTGGAAGAAATGAAAAACTCTGTAATACTGCCCGATGTTTATAGTTATAGCATTTTAGTTGATGCATTTTGTAAGAATGGATATGATAAGAGAGCTATTGACTTGATGACAGATATGAAGCTCTACGGAATAAAACCATCCATTGTTAGCTATACTTCTCTCATTCGCAGTTTATTCAAGAATAGGCCGATGCAAAGCTTGATGAATATCTTTCAAGAAATCAGTGCTTCAGGTTGCAAATATGATCAGATTATGTATGAAACTTTAGTTGATGGATTTTGCAGGAAAGGTGATATGGATTCAGCCATCCATCTTCTGGAGGAGATGAGTGGCAATAATTTTGCTCCCTCTGCTTTTAGTTATTGCAGTCTAATTAGGGGGTTCTACAAATTGAGACAATTCACTAACGCATTGAAAATTTATGGTATCATGCAAAAAAGGGGTTTCTGGCCAGATACAATCACTTGCAATCATATTCTTAGTATTCACTGCAGGAAACATGAATTCAATGTAGCCTTGGCATTGTCACAGAAATTCCAAGAACACGGAGTTAACCTCAACCCATATTCATATAATGAATTCATCCACAAGCTTTGTAGAGAAAGTTTTCCAGAAAAGGCACTGCAGCTTCTGCCGCTAATGCTTAAAAGGAATGTACTTCCTGAAGTTGTTAATTATAGTACGCTTATAACTGGCTTTGTCAAACATTCAAATTCTAAAAAGGCCGTGGTGTTATTCACAAGGATGACAAAAGTAGGAATCACTTTCAACGTCAGAACGTATACATTTCTTATGGACCAATGTATCCGTAATTGCAAAAGGCGTTTAGCATACTACTTATTTGAGGAAATGAAAGAAAGGGGTGTATATCCAGATCAGAAAGCATATAATACTCTAATAGTTGCCTTTTGTAATGCTGAAGAAATGATTATGGCGCAGGCCTTATATTATGAAATGTTGCGGGAGGGCTGTTCACCAGATGTAGTTACTTATACTAGTTTGCGTAATGCATATTGGAAGTTAAACATGATAGACCAGGTTCAAAAGTTGTATGACGAAATGAGAGCAGTTAGGTAGCTCTGTCAAGGCTTCCATTATATCCAGTTGGTATGTGTTTTGACATAATTTTCTTCTTCTCGTGTTTTGACATCTCTATTCTTATATATATACTTCCGTTATTCAAATTGGTATTGAACTAATACACCATTTTAAACTGTTTGATCGTAGATTCGTTATAATACCTGTGTGCTTAGTAGCTGTATCACTCACTCTGTCACCCACCTATTACCACGTTGTTATTTGTTTTGGGTAAAAATATAGTTATTTATTATTATACTGTACTAGCTTGTTATTTTGTGAGTAATATTTGAACCATCATTTTTAAGTAAATAAAATGTGATTAATAATGCTAACATGAAATGTTTCATTTCATACATATTGAATTTCACACTTCTATGTACACACTACATTTTGGGTTATACAAGAAAATTTTTTATAACATTTTCCCAAACAGGGCATATAGTCTACCACTGTAAAAGTTCACTTAAATAGTACTCATCATCCTAAAACCTAATATGTATGACACATTAAATATTTGTTTATTTATTTATTTTTAATATTGAATATTAATGCAAAAAACTCCCACCTGCAGCTAAACTAATGTTTTGGGTCCGTTGCTGCTGTGATTTACCAAACATCTTCATATTTTCCAATTCTATGTTGATCCAATTTATATAATCAAGTTAAATTAAACCACACAGATGCTGGTTTCTATGAAATGATATATTTTTGTTGCAATAATAATAGTAATGAGGATTCACATAGAAAACATTAAAAGGATTTAGTATTAGTAATTTATTATTATAATCATCCTCATTTTTTTGCTTGTCATGTGTGTAACAAAACAGGAAGGTCAGATATTTTGAATTCGGGTAAGGTGCAGTCGCCACTGCACGCAGTCAGCTGGAGCCAGCAATGCAGTCGCCGACTTGTGACTGCACAAAAGCCGGATCCAAATATTTCATTTCCAGTGCAATGATCCAAGGAAGACAAATTGGATTGGGTCCGTAAAGAGAGTCAAACATGGTAAGTTAAAAGGAATACCCATGTCATTGTCAATAATTGATACTTGAAACACCACATTTCCTGCTAAAATTAGCACAACTTTTGAAGAGTGCTGTTCTGTGAACTATTTAACACATTTATTTTCTACTGTCTTCCCCTTTTGATTGTTATCTGATGTTCACTGTCATATTATGACAAGTCGGAGCAATTATGACAGGTTGAAAGGATTGATTTGTTATATTGTATGAGCCTAGCTCTTTCACTATTAAAAGCTGCGCAGTCTGCTTTGTTTTTCTTTTTTTTGAGTCTCGTGTACTTGATGATAGGAGGCATTTTACATCTGATGATAGTTATAAGAAACTATTTGGAGTATTTAAATATCCTTGAAGTAATGCCTAAGTTTACATTTTCTTGTGCAGCAAAGCTTCAACTTTTGTTGATAGGCAACTTTAGAACACAATTTCTTATAGATATTCATCATTTGATGATTACAATGCTATATTAAAGAATACTTTACACATGCATGATTGTGTTCGTTATCTGCATTTGGGTTCTTAAACTGGTACTTGATGCTATATTCCTCGATGTCCATATATGTAAAATTAAAACACACGTAAGTGACACATAAATGTTATCCTAGTCTAACTGCCATCGGAAATTCTTTTCTTCTTTGCTACATAGATTTTTCAAGACCTCGCGCCTTCGCTCGCTGGTATATTTGAAGGAGTGTGTGCATTTTTGCTGAGCAGGAAACAGCGGGATCTGTTGATCTAATCATCCCCAAACAGCAATACTAGAGGTTGAGTTAAATGTGTTTGTTGACGTAGCCGTCATTGTTGATACCCCTATCTGAAGGTGTTTGTGTGGGTCTGAGCACCATGTAAGTCTTCTGGCTTTGGCAGAACAATATTTTTAAATTATTCGTGCATATGGACAGAAATATGTGGTAAATGTCACATAAAACACGCTTCACCCGTGGGTTTAATATTACGTTGCTGTTGGACATTGAACTCCAGTCTCTTGTTCTGTCTACTAATATTGCTAATTATTGCACCAATAATATTGCTATTTGCTTAGGTCAGTTGATGAAAAGAATGATACATTTACCTGATTTTGCTTATTCCTGTTAATATTTTCCTGTAGAATAGACTGTTTGTCATTATTTGCGTGCTGTCACAAAAACAACTCTGGACCTTCATAAAGTTTTGTAGTGTTGTGGCATTTTCTCCATCTCATTGACTGCTGTGGTACTTTCTCCAACTATTACAAAGTATTAACTATTAACTTAACTTTGCCTTTTTTTTGTAGTGTCAAAGCCCTGTTTTTTCAATAAAGCTAAGCATAGATGGAGAATGTTGCAGATGTCTCTTGGTGAAGTGAGGTTGGATCTTTTTCGCGTCTGCTGAGAAGGTAATAGATACTCATCCGAACTTTTACCCTTTACTTTATATCACATATCAGAGCTATACTTTAAATTCTAGTCGTAAACCTCGTCGGGCTATCTTTGATTCTTTACATTTTTAGATTATGATATTTTAAATATAAATTCATTAATTTAAGTTCATTTGCAAATATAAGTTCATTAGGTTATTTTATTGAATTTTATTGGCATTTGCAAATATGTTTTGCATTTGCTGAAGACTTCTGACTTTTATTTCTAAATATGATTACTTCATGAATTTAATTAATTTATATTAGTTTTTGACAATTATGTGTTAATTAGTATTAACTATATTAGTATCCGCATTACTTAAATATCGGCCGTTATGCTTCCCGCTCCCGCTCCGTTCCATTTTTAGATATTGCCGTGCAGTGCCATTATCCAAAATTGATAACATAGCTTTCCTAATAGTGAGCTGAATAGGGACATAAGAATGACGTGACAATATTCTGTTAGCAAGGGAGGGTTATAAGGGATAGAGGAGGTGAGAGTAGGGATCATTGAGAAGTTTTTAAGAATTTGGTTAGGAGAGAATATCTCTCTCGCAGGAGTCTTGTCTCTTGTTTTCTGTTTCTCAATTGTAGAGCTCTCGAGCTCACACTTTCATCCAATAATATACTGTTTCGTTTTATTTGAAATTTTTGGTTTTATCAGAGCACTGCTCTATGCAGCGGACATCACACAAATTGATAAAGATGGCACCTTGACTACTTGTATCTTGATGTTAAAATTTTTCTGTCTTGCAAATAATTTTTGTTGCTTGTAACAAGATTGTGAGGGGCTTGCAAGGACAAATGACACCTAAAAATAACCTATATATGAAGCAAGAGTGCTAATAAAAAACTTCATGAAGTTAACTTAAAATGCTTACAGGAAAAAATAGGACTGTCTTTATAAAGTCTAGATACCAGCTCCCTTAATGATACTGGCATAAGAGAGGTTAGACACAACAAGAGCATGCATAACATTTTCCAGTTGATTCGCATACAACATATTTTGTTTCTATAAGCACAAAACTAAACTCCAATATTTTCATTTCAGATAATGTTCATAGAGAAAACTTGTTATTGACTATTGAGTGATCAAATAAAAAAATGTGCATTATCCAATATGCTCTGCATATATTTTATCAGTATACTTATCGTAAAAGAAATACAGTGATAGGAATTCTATCATATCCTTGAACAAATTCTTAATCATATCCTTGAACAAATTCTTAATCATAAACAGAGTTATCAATCCCGGATAGCGGAGCGGAGCAGCCGGCCCCAAAGATGAGATAGCGAGATAGCGAATAGCGGGATAACTGCTATTTGACTATTTTTTAGACTAATTATATGAATAATCTATTAAACATATATTTAATGTAAAAATCAAACAAAGAGGAATAAAGTTATTAAATGACTATTACTTAAAAACCCCGAGGTAATGAAAAACAAATATAAAATCAAACAGGATTTATTTATTTTAAGGGTAAATCTGAGTTTTTGGCATTCAAAACAGTTCAAACCCGCTCGGGCTGGGAAGCGCCCTGCGCCTGCTACCTGTTAAACATCAAATAGTGGCTGCTAAACATCAAATAGTGGAGGGTCACCGCTCCGGGCCGATATCCCGGGATAGCGCCGATAGCGGCCGCTATCAATAACTCTATTCATAAAGTCAAGCGACATCCAAGGAAATTGTATCTTCCATCTCATTGTGTGATGAATAAAATTTAACCTTCATATCGATAATGTGCTCTTCTAACACATAAATGGAATAAAAAATTTCTTAAATCATGAGGAAATTGGTGTTGTCACGGTCATACTTCCTTCACAGTTTCAACCAAATAAAGAACATACAGAATTAAGTTAAGGCATTGCTAATTATAAGTTTTGCTATCATTTTAATCAAATTGAATTACTCTACAGTGTTTATAAAGAAGATAAGTTCTTTATCCATATAAAACATTTATGCTTGTAATCCCTAATAGCAACTGTCTAAAAGCAAGTAACCAACATACCTCTTCTTAACTTAAGGGTTGTTTTGTTTTTGTGTTTGATTTTTGGGATTAACTTAAAATTGTTTTTTTTTTTTTTTTTGTGGTGTGTTTTTGAACCTAAAATTGTGAGTCTTTTTTGCTTTTATTTTGATGTTTTTTCTGTTTGTGGCTCTTGGGGGTTTGATTGGTAATTCTTGTTTTTATGTTTATGGGTTTTAAGGAGTTCTGTGTTTGTGTTTCTTGGATGTTTTGTTCTGTGTAGTTTTCAGAAAAACAGAGGAAAGGTTCAATATGAAAATAAAAATTATATGCAAGCTTTGTATACATCGACAAATGCCAAACATGACAATAACACTGACATGCAGACGCCAACGATAAAAGTAATTGAATGTAATCAAGTGTATCAGTGTTGGACGTAGTCTTAAAACTCTTGGGTTTTTGTTATTGTACCGTCTTGTTATACTCATGATGTAATTCCAAAAGTTTAAACAGATTGGTTGATGCAAAGTATATAATGAGTAGTGATATTCCATTGCAGGATCGGGAAATGGGTTAAGCTTTGGGATGCTACCAAGTAGATAAGTCAATGCAGCTATAAAAGAGCAATTTGGGATATTTATCGTTGTTTTGTAACCTGGATGCCATTGCTTACCTTGGTGTCTTGGCTATAGATAGCTGGTGGATACAACTCAATGTTAAATGCGAGACGAAAACAAAGGTCCTTGATTCTCTCTTTATTACTCCTCCTATTATGCTAGGAAATTTCCCTTTTCACTTCTAACAAACCAGTTTTACTTCAAGTTTAAGAAAACATACTGTTAAACCATTTTTACTTTAAGATTAAAAAAACATAATACTGTTAAATCTGTGCTTTCTATAGGTGGTTGGATATTACGAAGGCAATTTATTATGACATTGTGTTAGTATCTGATTATCACAAACTTGTTTTTTAGGATAATGTCTTTGTGAACGTGGTTGCATCTGTACAATACCGCACTGTGGCTGACAAAGCGTCCGATGCCTTTTATAAGCTCACCAACAAAAGGGAACAAATCCAATCATATGTTTTTGATGGTATGTGAATAGTGATTTTTCTGCTCCATTCGATTATTGACGTTAGTATTCTCAAATAGCCGCTATAGCGTTGTGGAGTTTCAACAAACTGCTACTTCCCCACGATACGCGATTTAGTACGTGTTGTCAAATGGTTGCTATAGCACCACCGTAGCATTGTTGCGTAACCAAGTTTGAATGAACCACTATTTTGACACATTTTTACACTAAGTGTGTAAAACTATCATTTTAGGTTTATCATGCTGTATTCTGTTATACTTGCTTCTTTAAAAGGTTTTATATTTTTGCATTGACTTAGTTATAAGAGCCAGTGTGCCAAAGTTGGAGCCGGATACGTCTTTGAGCAGAAGAATGATAGCAAAGGCTGTTGAAGATGAGCTTGAGAAGGTGTCTATTCCTTTTTATATAAAATCTTTCTTTAGTATATCATAGAAGGTTATAATCATGTTCATTAACAAGTTAACTCAACCTTAATGTTTTAGGCGATGTTGACCTACGCATACGACATAGTCCAGACTCTCATTGTTGATATAGAGCCTGATGTTAACGTCAAGAGAGCAATGAATGAGATCAATGCAGGTAATATATACTAGTTCCTGTTCCTCAACAAGAAAACATTTTGCTTAATAAAGCACTTATATGATAGTGGCTTATACTATAAACGCTAAAATTTTGATTGATCATGGCAGTTGCAGCTATATTCTAATCTTTTTATTTGTGATATCATCAACAGCTGCGAGAATGAGGACTCGGCTGCACACGAGAAAGCCGAAGCAGAAAAGATATTGCAGATCAAGAAAGCTGAGTCCAAGTATCTATTGGGACTCAGTATTAGGGATGTAGATGGGTTGGGTCAACCCACAAAATCCGGTCAAATCCGCCCAAAAATATTCATAAAAGTGGGTCGGGTCGGGTCATTGGTGGATATGAGTTTAAAAATTAAAAAACCCATTAAAAAATTGAGTTTCGGGTAAAACTATACCCAAACCCAAAAAATCTACTGACCCACTAATCAAATATTTATTTTTACAATTTTAATGATTTTGATGAATAATAATTTAGTTGTTGAAATTTTATTCTTCTTAATAGTTACTATTTTAGTGAACCATGATTTTAACTAATTATCGATATTTCATCATTAGTTATTTTGATGTTAATACGATTTTATCTCATGTAAGTTTAGTTTGTTAGTATTTTATGATAATTTTTACTAGTCGAAGTTATCATTTATTATTTTATGATGCTAAGAAATAGTAAAAATAGTAAAAATATGTTTTTCTAATTTTTTAAAGATAAAAATGTTAAATAATTTTTATGAAAAAAATATGATGACTCATCATTTAATAATTTAATATTAATAAAATAGAAAAATTATTTGAGCAATCCATAACCTAACTCAACCCGGAAATTAGTGGGTTTGTCCAAATCAGTCCATTAATAAAGCGGGTGGTTATATCACTTCACTCAAATTCAACTCAAACTACTTCGACACCATGAAGGAAATTGGAGCATCCTCAAAATCTTCGCCTTTGTTCATACCTGTGCTGCTAGAGACATCGCCGTGCAGATTAAGGATGGTCTTGTGCTGTTAGAGACATCGCCGTGCAGATTAAGGATGGTCTACTTCAGTGAAATGCTGCAAATTTATAAGTGTTTTTGGAGAGAATATAAATGTTTTTTATGCTTGAAAGCCAGTTCTTACTGTAGTAGATTCATTCTCTTTATATCCATCCCTAAAGTTCTATTTATTCTATAAACTAACTTACCACCTCCACATTATATATACATTATATATAGCACCTTCTAACTGGTATAAAAAAATTAAACTATTTCAAAGGCACCTCCACATTATATATAGCACCTCCACATTATATCAAATTTATGAACGATATCGGAAATTTCAAAGGCAATATCAAAAATTTCGTGAACATATAAGAATTTACGTTAGATTTGTGAAATTTTCGGTATTTTGTATTGGAAATTTAAAATATCTAGTATTTTCGTATTGAAAATTTTAAACTATTTGGTATTTTTCATTTATCATTATACCGAAGATTTTGAAATTTCCAGTACGTCATAGAATATTGAAAATTTTGAAATTTTCGGTAGTTTAATTTTTTTTGAAAAATACTGGAAATTTAGAAATTTCCGATAGTTGAAATTTTTCTAATATTTTCTTATTTTGCAGCGAGGACCAGAGGCAAAGATGATTCTATTGCGGAATGGACCACTGATATAGCTGATGCTAAAGTCTGGGTTGACGCAGCGCAGGCTTCAGAGCTACGGGCTGAACGCCGTTCTCCGACCAGTTCTCACTAAACATGGCAACTAAACTCGTATTTGCTAGTATCCACCCTAACACGCTCCGAAGTTGACAGGGAAAGCCTACTTTGACTGGGTTTGGGTTTTCTCCGATTATAAAATATGGGACGGACTCGTCCCGTTTATTTCATTATATATATTACTATTTATTTTTGATAATTTAGAATATTAAATATGTGACCAATGTTTTGAGAATTTGATTTGTATTTATTATTTAAAATGTTTAAAATGTATGCATGAATTTTTTGAGATTGTTTTATTTTATTATTTATAATATAATTTGATTTTGGAAAAAAAATATTTTTATTAAAAAAATAATTTTACTAAATGGATGGTGATAGGGCGGGGATATCCGAATCCAATCTGAATCCGTTTGGAACGAGTTTGTGTTTTAATTCCCCATTCATGTTTGTGTTTGGGACGGGGAACGGAAATTGGTTGGAGATTCGGGATTGGTTGGAGATTCGGGTTTGGGTTTGGAGGAGGTAAAAATCGTTCTCGATCCACCTCGTTGCTATGCCTAGTTCTTACAGAAATAGATGGTTGAGCAGCGGGCATATTTTTGTGCACTCCTCCTTAATCAGAAATTGAAGAAGAGGTATTTGTTTGAGATGTATTCTCTCTATAACACATGCTTATATTTATACAAATGATGATGTATTCTAGAATATAAAATTTGTCGGTACAATTAGAACCATCCAAATATGTCAGTAAAATCTCAATCGTTTAAAAAATTATGTTTTTGTAACTATCAGAAATTTCAGTTAATTTGAAATTTTCGTTACATCAGAAATTTTAAATATACTATCAGAAATTTACGCATACCGAAAATTTTGTAGAGGTGTATAGGAAATTTGGATTGTACTAAAAATTTCAATAGTGGAAAGTGACATATTTAATTTAGGGGTTGACATGTTAATTCTCTTTCTATTCACTGCACTTTTCATTTTCATTTGTCAATCTATCTACTCACACGTGTAAAATATTAAACAATTTTTTTGTTTAATTTTTTTAATGTATTAGTTATTGGATATAGAAAAGATGAGAGAGAATGCAAATTAAATACATTTTATATTTAATTTGATCTTGAAATTGATGAAAGTGGTTTTTCTCTCTTATATTTTGAGATAAAAAATATTTATTTTTTTCTTATATTTTGAGATGGAGGAAGTACCTTATTCAATTCAATTCGTGTCTCTATCATGAAATTAATGTTATAAGAGAAAATATTTACGGGATTTTAAAATGAAAATGAGAGAAAAAAAAGTTAAAAGTTATATTTTTCTATTAAAAAAAGTTAAATTTATTATAGAGAAAATATTTGCAGAAGATAAGATAAAAATATGGATTTATATAAGAGTGTATTTTATAGGATCTCTTCGAACATGTTTGAATTAAAAAACATATAATTTATTTCTTTTATTTTTATTTTTACTTTTATAAATATTTTCCTTTTATAATAAGTTATTTTCTCTCGTTCATTTTAAAATTCGTAAATATTTTTTTCTTAATAATACTATTTTCATAATAGAGAGAAGAATGTGACAAAAAATTGTTTAATATTTATTTGGATGTGCATAAAAGAAATGCAATGAAAATAGACTTGACAAGAGAATATGAAAAGTGTAGACGAGGAAGAGATAAACCACTATACAAAAATTTGAAATTGTCGGGTGCATCCCGCAAAAGTAAATATTACCTTACAACGTAATTATTGTAGGGTGGATGAAACATTTCGTAAAAATGTTAGTAGCAACTTTTTGTAAGGACTAATATAGTTTGCAGGTGTTCATTACTTTACAACTCTGTCTCCTTTCACATGTTCAGAGTTGAAACACGCAGGTCAGAGCAGAGAGAGCAGGGTTCTTCAGAGAATTTACAGGGTGAAATTCATCTGATAAAGTTTGATTAGACATAAAATTGAAGGATGAAATTTATCTGACAAAATTTGATTAGACATAAAATTTAATAATATTACATTTTAATTTTTTTAAACTTTAACAGTATAGTATAAATCTCTTTTAGAAAAATAATAAACTAAACCTATAATATTATTTATTTATTTATTTATGAAAATACGAAGAAAAAAAAAATCATAGAACCAGCTCATACAAGTTTACCATTATTTCTATCACTAAATTTCAATCTATCACTATTTCTATCATACAAATTTATCACTATTTCTATCATACAAATTTAATTTAACTAAAATTTAATTTAACTAGCTCATACAAATCCAACCAACTCATTCAATCAATTTATTCATAAATTTAAAATAACAAACAATTTATAAATATGATGAGAATATTGAAAGAAAATTCGTATCCAGTAAAAAATTTGAGTACTTGAGATTTGATTTGGGGTTAAAATTGAGTAGAGATGTCAGGCAGGCCCAAACCCGTGGGACCATTTGCACCCGAACCCGAGTTAACGACGGGGTTCGGGTTCGGGTGCCACCTGATATTCCGGGTGCGAGTTTGAGTTCACTCAAACCCACACCCAAAACCCGAAACTCCACCCGCTTAGACATTAAATTACATAAGTACCTCTAAATATATATAAGTGTAAAAATTTAGGACCTTAATTTTAATTGTAATGTTATCAAACTTGATGGAAAGTTGTAATTTAATTCTTTAATTTTTTTGAGAGACTTTGATAGAATTCTTGTGTTTCAAATTTCAATATTGTTGTTGTATTTTTTGTGTTATTGCTGCGGGTTTGGATTTGGGTGAAAAAACTGGAACCCAACGGGTGTGAGTGTGGGTGTTATTTTGTCACCCGAATAGCCTTTGGATTCGAGTTCGGGTTTGGATGGTGATTTTGGGTGCGGGTTTGAATAGTGTTAAACCCGCATCCGACCCGACTCGTTGTCATCCCTAAAATTGAGAGACTTGAGAGATATAGAGGGGTTGAGAGAAGGTGGAACTTAGAAAGATGGAATGAGTTAATGTTTTCTGCTTCTAGAATGGAGAAAAACGAAAGCGTTTTGAGGATATATAAAGCAAACTTGTGGGGTGAAAAAAACTCTGCAATATTTATTACCGTTGAAACTTGCAAGGTGAATAACACCCTACAACCAATAATGTCGGTAATAAGCAAAACACTTACCTGCCTCTCTGTTAAAATAGTAATTGTAATAAGTATTTTCCACCCACTTTTTCAAAAAAGCCTTGCGCCATGGGCTTAACCCCACAACATTTCTTCCCGTTGGTACTTGCGGGGTGTTACTAACTGTTGGCTGAAGATTTTGATAATATTATTATAAGCCAAGTAAATTGGACGTTTCGATCGAAATGAAATAAAACGTCATGTTTCGAAATAGTAGAAGCAATGCTTCGAATGAGCATATCAAAGCTTGGAGCTTCGAGTGGCAATTATGAGAACATATCTAAAGAAGTCTCGAAATGACAACAAGGTTGTATCTAAGAAGTGCGTTCGAAGCGAAGAAGTGCCAAAACATTTGAAATTCAAATGCAAGCGGGATGTTCGAAATTTGAAATATATGCGCTGGAGCATTCGAA